AAAAAAAAAAAAAAGGCGGTACCTGTGGCTCAAAGGAGCAGGGCACCCCATATGCCGGAGGTGGTGGGTTCAAACCCAGCCCCAGCCAAAAACTGAAAAAAAAAAAAGCCAGGCATTGTGGCAGACACCTGTAGTCCCAGCTACTCAGGAGGCTGAGGCAACAGAATCGCTTTGCCCAAGAGTTTCAGGTTGCTATCAGCTGATGCCCCAGCATTCTACCGAGGGCAAAGTAGTGAAACTCTGTCTCAAAACACACACACACACACACACAAAGTCTGAAAACTAGAAGGCTAGAATTTCTTATTCTTTAGTTGGATTTTTATATCAATGCCTTGTACAATATTAGTAAAAATGATTTGTTAAAGGCTCAGTGCCTGGGCTCAAGCAGCTAAGGTGCCAGCCACATATACCTGAGCTGGTGGGTTTGAATCCAGCCTGGACCCACCAATCAACAATGACGGCTGCAACCAAAAAATTATGGTGGGTACCTATACTTGGGAGACGGATGCAGGAGAATTGCTTGAGCCCGGGAGTTGGAGGTTGCTATGAGCTATAATGCTATGGCACTCTACCCAGTTGTCAGGGCGACAACTTGAGGCTCTGTCTCAAAACAAAAAAAATTATTTGCTAAAAATTTTGTTAAGTACTACTAGTTGTTAAGCAGTTGAAAATGAAAAATGAGTTTTTTCTAAATATGATTTAAAAGAAGATACTGAAATCAAGTATATAATTAGTAAGACTAATGTCATGTTAGGTATTACTTTTGAAATTAATTGGTTTATTGATAACATCTTTGTTTATTTTATTTTATTTTATTTTTGAGACAGAACCTCAAGCTATCCCCCTAGGTAGAGTGCTTTGGCATCACAGCTCACAGCAACCTCCAACTCCTGGGCTTAAGTGAGTCTCCTGCCTCAGCCTCCCAAGTAGCTGGGACCACAGGTGCCCACCACAACACCCGGCTATTTTTTGGTTGCAGTCATCATTGTTGTTTTGGCAGGCCCCGGACTGGATTTGAACCTGCCACCTTAGGTGTATGTGGCTGGCACCTTAGTCACTTGAGCCATAGGCGCCAAGCTATTATTGATAACATCTTGATAAATTTTTCAATTGTAGTTTTATAGGAAATTATCTTTTCATGAAAAAGCCAGTTTTCAGACTTTACTTAGAGACTTAAATACAGTATTTCAGTATCACAGTTTAATCAAAAGGTTTTTTTTTTTTTTTTTTTAGATAGGGTCTTATTCTATTATGTGGGCTAGATTGCAGTGGCATGGTCACAATTCAGTGTAATGTCAAACTCCTGTGGGTTAAGTGATCCTCTTGCTTCAGCCAAGTAGCTGGGACCGTAGGCACACACCACTATGCATAGCTGATTGTTTCCTTTTTTATTTTTGTAGAATGGGGGCTCACTCTGTTTCTTGACCTCAAGAGATCATCTGGCCTCAGCCTCCCAGAATGCTATGATTATAGGTGTCAGCCACCATGCATGTCTGGTCCCAAAGTATATTTCTTTATTTTTACTTTTTAAAAATTTTTTTGGAGATAAGAGTCACTTTGTCACCCTTGGAAGAGTACTATGGCATCATAGCTCACATAGCAACTCTTGGGCTCAAGTGATTCTTTTGCCTCAGCCTCCCAAGTAGCTGGGACTACAGGTGCCCGCCACAACACCAGCAATTTTTAGAAACCTGGTATTGCTCTGGCTCAGGCTGGTCTCCAACCTATGAACTCAAGCAATCTACCTGCCTCAGACTCCCAAATGCTAGTATTACAGGTGTGAGCCCCTGCGCCCAGCCACCAGAACTATTTAAGCCAAGCTTAGTGATGGGCACCTGTAGTCCTTGCTACTTGGGCAAGTGAGGTGGGAGGGTTGGTAAAACTCAAGAGCTTGAGTTCAGTGTGGGCAATATAGTAAGACAACATTTCTTTTTTTTTTTTTT